CCGCCTCCCACTTAACAACCTGCATGTCTTGGGGTTATGACGGTAACCAGGACTGACGGGATTGCCGTCACTAAGCAATGTGGTCATGTGACATTGTGCTTTATGACTGCATCACTTAGCAACAGCAATTCTGGTCCCAATTGCTGTCGTAACCCGAGGACTACCTGTACAATGTTTTGGGTTCTCCAGGTGAGATATGGTCTGTACTTAGAATTAGCAGTGTGCATGCAAACCCCCACTAATAGTAGAGGAGAGAGTTCTCCCAAATGAACCATTGTTGGAATCCACTAAATAACCAGAGAAAATGCAACTCACTGAACATACAGGCTCTGCTAGCAGGTTTTCTCTTAGCTGTCCATGTTACAATTTTAGAAATAAAAGATATTCATGCAGGCTCCCCAGAGGTAAAGCCATCTGTTTACAGTTGTCCGCTGCAATCACTGGGCATCATAACAAAATGTGTAGCTTCTCTATTGACAACTTTCTTTAAAATATTTTCCCCTAAAGTGGTGCCTCAGCTTCTTCCTACAAAATATAACAAAGCTGTGTAGAAATAACAACATAACTTGTGACTGCTTCAGCAAAATTGGTCTATGGATGCACATCTTGATGAATGCTGGGTTGTATTATTTATATCACAGTTTTATTGAAAAGACTCTAGGAGGCAAGCTCAGTGAACAAAACCATCTTTGTCGCCTGTAGTGTAAGTATTCTTTACAGTGATGGTTAAAAACATAATTATTGATACTCCTGAAACAATTGACAATGGATGATTAATTGCACATGTAGCAAATTTGCATTCTTCTTAATTGTATGAATCTGTTGTTGTTATACTGGGCAATCTGAAGGCTATTTTTTGAAGCCTCGCCTACCTTAAATAGAAAGTGTATATATTCAGGCTGTTGGTGTAATTAGTAATATTGATTCAAAGATCTATCTATGTCAATAAATATTTGAGAACTTTAGTTCACAGTAATCAACTACATTGACCAGTTGTATTCAGTAGCAAATTGGTTCGGGCCAGCTGAAATGGTCAGATATTTTACAGTTAAAGTTACAGATTTACCTCGGAGTTAGTCTCATCGAACACTGTTACCTTACTCTGAGAAGTCACGTATAAGATTGTATGAATAATCTAGTCATTTAAAACATATAGACAATACCAATAAATTTAACGCTACCAAACTTGCATAAAGCATGCAAATCGCCCTCTTGTACAACAGCCAAAGGATTATTCACTTATATTAAAGGCTATAGTGCTTCTATCAAAAACTCATCCAGTGATCTAAATCTCACTTTTGCGATGGTGATGTCAAATAACGGTGTAGGAGGAGAGGGAAGCTTGAAAAGATACCTGGTTAAATCTTTTAGCTGCCGTGTTAACCCGAGGCTTCTTGATTGAATACTTCATCTTACATAGAAGGCTGCAGGGATGTTGAATTTCTAGGTCTGTATCACAAGAGTTTCCCCCAGCCCCTTCTAAGCCACACCTAACCCTGCTCCTTTTCCATTACTGTTTTTCAGGCTTCTGGTTGTGATGGTACCGAAATCCCTGATGAGGTAAAACTGATTGGGTTTGCTCAGTTAAGCGTCAGCTGATGCCAGCGCACCTGACCCCCAGCAAAAGGGTGTGATTGCGAAGAGGCCAGCTTTACATTGTGAAGGAAGTTTTTCAAGCACCCCACGCGGACAGTTCCGCTTCATTCAGTAGCACCTCACCAGGTTGGAACAAGCGAAAGCCCACCGCTCCACTGCTCCTGCTAACAGTCCAGAAGCTCCTAAATGCTGCTCTAGCAATCAGGTTGGATTTCCCTGGCATGAGAACAGACGGATTGGAAACGCGCTCAAGTGGCTGTGTCCACCGGCCACAAAAGGAATTTTCTATCAGAGCTAGTCCTTCTTTCATTAAAACAAAACAGTCATTATTTTAGTGGATAATTCTGATTCGTTGGTTGTATGTAGAATGCACATAATTATAAATGCTAGGGTTTATTAGCCAAACTTGAATTCCTGATTTAAAACCAACTGTGAACTTT